CCAACACTCAATTGGAGTGGATGCCCCCTGGTTCTGGTATTACGTGAGAGGGAAAAGAGCTTCCCTCTACCCATCTTATCCATCCCCTGCATCATTTTATATGTCTCAATCATGTCCCCCCCATGTCTTTTCTCTAGACTAATGAGCCCCAAACACTGTAGCCTGTCCTCATAAAGGAGGTGCCTCAGCCCAGTCATCATTTGAGTCGCTAGATACGCCCTTGGCATGATCCAGCAGGGCTCTTCTTATGAGATATAAAAAGCCTGTTTTCTGGGATATAATAGGATACTGTACTATATTGACAGATATAAAAGAACAACCTTAATCTCAGCCAATGGCCACTGTAATGCAAGCGAGGGTGAATCCCTCTGCCTGTAGACTAGAGGTGTGCCAGTTGGGCAGTTTATCTGCTGGGGGGGCACTTGTCACAACCTGGGGGTGCCAGCGCACAGCTTTCAGACTGTTTTTTACAGGTTGCAAATTCCAGGCTTCCTTCATTTCCCACTTGGCTCCAAAGCTCTGGAATTCTCTCCTTCGTATAGAACCAGATTGGACAAATTGAGACCAGGTTTGAAAACCTATCTGTTCAACTTGGGAGCCATAGCTGTCAGGTGTAGGGAGAGATGATCGGTGACCAATGTATTTTACTTGAACTTTTTAGCTGGTTTTTAGCAGTTAGTGAAGTCTTTTGGATCATTGCTTACTGTATTTTAAAGAGTTTTATGTTGACGTACAGGTTCACATATATAGACATAATATTAACGTTGGATTAATCTGGATTTTATCTTAGTTTATTTTTATATTATTTGTAAACCACCCAGAGTAGACACGTTCTAGATGGGCAGCATATAAATCAAATAAATAAATAAATAAAGTTGTGGTTAAGCGTGTTGCATGTTTGTACATTACTGATTTTATTGGAATGTACTCTGGTCTAAAGTGCAATTATTATATTATTATTATTCAGAAATACCAGGCACAGTCAATCAAAATTATAAAAACATTGACTGGTATTATATAATAGATACAAGTTTTAACCAAAGACCTAAGTATCTGTTAAACATTGCTGTAGTATGTATGCTGTTACCAATATTGCCATTTCTTTGTAGCTGTGATGGTGTTATTTCTGAGATCTGCAACTGCTTATAGAGTTGGGGTATTTGTATTCGAATACGAATCTCCCCACACAGCTGGAGTTAATGAGGGTCTGACTCCTGGGGCCGGACCGTCCAATCATGTGTCCGCTGGTGGCGGCAGCCTCGCTCATCCTTCCAATCACTCGCAGAGCTCTGCTCTCTTCCGGCTCGGCTAGCCACTCCAGGCAAGGACGAATATGAATACCTCCATATCTACTTAGAATACTGTGTGAAAGTTCTTGATATTGTTCTCAAAGTCCCAATGACTACAGGGATGACTGAAGTTTGTTTCATCCACAGGCAAGATGTTTCAATTGCCCGGTCTCTGTATTTTGTTAGTTTTTTCCAATTATTTATTTTGAACTCTGGCATCTCCTGGAATTGCAATGTCAATGATCCAGACATTTCTACTACTATGCTCAAAGTGTCTATCAGTTTGGATCCAGAAATCCCACAAGATCTTGAAGTTGTCATTTTCTGACGCCTTCCCTACTTGATGTTCCTGTGGGTTTTTGGAGGCTGGCAAGTTATATTTTTTGCATAATGACCAGCGCACTAATTTTGCCACTCTGTCATGTCTAATTTTGTAATCTGTTTGGTGCAATCTTTGGATATTAGCAGATGAGGTTTTTTGGGGGGGGGCAGAGTCAACATTTGCTGTTACCACAAATTCCTTGAATTTTAGCTTTCATCACATTGGTTTGGAGTACTTGTTCTTCTGCAGCAAAAATTAAGCCTTCCGTTTCTTTCTAAATGGCCCCCCATTTTAGCCATGCCCATGTTGAATTATTATCATGCTTTCCATCAATATTTCTCAGGTGTTGTCCATGTAGTGGTCTATTTTTTCCAGCTGTTTTATTTATTTTCAAATTGTTGTTTCTTATATTGAACCTATGTTTCTGCTGTTTTCAAAATATTCTCCATTTTCACTGTCTTAAGTAATTTTTCTCTACCTGTACTTATATAATCATTTAATCTTCTTTTTTTCTTCCTCTACTACCTGCTGCATTTGCAGTAATCCACGGCCTCCAGTTTTTTGTGGCAAATATACGGCAATCTGTCCACGTCAATTTTTGGATATAGCGCATGATACATGTTTATTATTTACCATGTTTTTTAATCCAATTCTTCTAATTTGTTTTGAGTCCAATCTATTATTCCAGCTGGGTATCTAATGACTGGAACTGCCCATGTGTTTATGGATTTGATTGTATTTCTACCATTTAATTTGATTTTAACATTTTCCACAGTCTTTTGTTGTACAGTATTCCCTTTCTGTCATTTCTTTAACTTTTGTGCGCAGGTTGTTATCTGCTTCTGGTATTCCAAGGTATTTAGAATTTTCATCACTTGATAGTGATTTTATAATATTGCTATTTTTAAACTCTATTCCATCTGGTGTGGTTTTTTTATCTCGCCAAATTGTATAGACAGAGATGCGCATCTGTCAATTTCAGATTTCATTTGAATATCTTCACTTAATATTCACACTGTGTTTAGCAGTGATTCCATCTGTGGAACTTTTTGCATATAGTTTTAGGTCATCCATGTATAACAGATGATTGGCTTTTCCTGCTTGTTCTGAAATATGGGAGCCCAATCCAGTTTTATTTAAAATTATTGACATAGTGATTAGCGAGCTGTTAAACAGCAGTGGTGACAAAGAATCCCCCTGAAATATTTGTCTTTTGATGCTAACTTTACCAATTTCTTCACCATGGGTCATTAAGACAGTTTTCAGTTTCTCCATGTTTTTCTTGAGGAACTTCTGAATATTTTTACTAATCCCAAAAACTGTTATGCAGGTGTTAATCTAGTCATAGAAATAAATAAATAAATAAATAAATAAATAAATAAATAAATAGATGATGATGATGATGATGATGATGATGATGATGATGATGATGATGATGATGATCTGGGGCATAAACAGGCCGGGTATACTTAGGTCTGGTGAAACAGATGTCTCTTCCTTCCCTGGATTTTACCACCGACCTTTATGCTCTCCCTGCATTTTCTTTCCCATTAGAAAAAAAGTGACATTTATAAAAATTAAGATATATAGAGAAAAAGAGGGGCAGAAAAAAAATCTCTACCACCCTCAGTTTTACACCCAAATTGCAGGGAACTTGCAGATTTGTGGCAGCTACACACAGTCAGGATTGCTCTGTCAGTCTCACTTTATCCAGTGAGAAGCAACTCACACTGAAAATTACAGGAGGTATTTCTTAATAAGCATGAACAGGATTGCATCTGGAGGGGAAAATTTTAAAACTCAGGCTGTCCTACTCTAGGCACATAATGAAAAAGCAAGAACCTATGAAAAAGACCATTAGGCTAAGAAGACCTGAAGGCAGCAGGAAAAGAGGAAGATCACAAGGAAGAGCGATTGACTCCCTAAGGAAGCCACAGACTTGCATTTGCAAGAGCTGAGCAGGGCAGTTGAGGAGAAGACATTTTGGAGGTCACTCATTCATAAGGTCATCATAAGTCGGAGGTGATTTGACAGCGCATAACAGCAACATAGGATTTTTAAAAATGAGTATTTTCTTACCTCAGACATAATATTTTGTATGCTTTTCTGTCTGGGATGTGTGCGCCTATGTTTCTGTTTGTTTGCATTGTTTCGAATTCTAGCATTCAAGCCAAACAATCATCAGCAATACTGTGTAACATTTCAGATATAATAGGAACAGTAGATCTGGCTACGGTCTCAGTAGGCAAACAACGTACTTCAGTGTTAGCTATCAACTGAAAATTAACCAGAACTTAAGAGAGTTCATATTCAAAAAGATATATAGATGGAGAAGAGAACAAGGTTTGAAAGAGTTACTTCTTCTGATTATTTGTTTGTTTGTTTGTTTATATACCGCCCACACTACCCAAAGGTCTCTGGGAGGATTACAATTTAAATGCAATAAAAAGATTAAAAGGTAAAACAATTAAAAATACAGTACAGTACTCTACAAATTGCCATCAGGACCCACAGTTAATATTATTTCAATTAAAAGCCTTTTGGAACAGGAAGGTTTTGACCTGGCACCAAAATGTCATCAATGTTGGCGCCAGATGGATCTCAGTCGGGAGGGCGATCCATAGTCTGGGGGCAGCTGCCGAAAAGGCCCTTTCTCTACAAGCCCTCCCTCTTACCTCCTTGAGGGACGGCTCTTTCAAAAGGGCCCCCTGGCTAGATCTCAACTGCCAGGTAGGGTCATATGGAAGGAGGCGGTCCTTCAGGTATCCAGGGCCCAAGCCGTTTAGGGCTTTATACGTCAAAACAAGCGCTTTGAATTGTAGCCAATGTAATTTGAACAGAATCAGCCTGATGTGTTCCCTAGCAGCCCCAACACTCACCAGCTGCGCAGCTCAATTCTGAACCAGTAGATTGCAGTAGAATTTATTTATTTAACTTGGCAGATTACAGCTACCGAAACCCCCCAGGTAACATGAGCACTGACCACACCAGCCAAGAGACTATTGTAGGATTCTGGGAATTAAAGATGAACAAGTTTTATCTTGGAAAAGCTGAATGCACTCACAAAGGTCTTCTTCCATGCAGCTGAAGAAATGGGCTAAGGTCAACAGGAAAATTGTACAGTACCAAATCCAATTTCTCAGTGTGCAAAGGGGCACCCCTGATCCCGCCAGGAAAAGTCACTTTGGAGGGAGTCCTCTCCCTTAAGACTATCCTTCGGTCTTTTTGGGGAATCGCTCCAGCCTGCTCTCCCCACCACCCATAGCCCTTGGGGAGGGCTTGGGGTTGACCTGGAAAGCATTTCCGTGTATCGCCAGGAAAACAGATCACGCCAAACCGCTCCACAAGTGGTCCAAAATGCCATCTATGGTGTGATCACACCCTTAGTCTTTAAGGGTAAGATTCTGTTCTTTTGCTGCAACAGACTGGCACAGCTACTTTGCTGGAAATTTTATGCCGTGGGAGTCCGGAAAAGTAACTTTTCCAAGCCGTATGGGAGGATATATTCCGCATGAAAGATGCCTGACTTTGGGGCAAGATCAAGAGAGGTGAAAAAAGCGGTAACCTTTCGAAAACAAGGCAGCTTCCTAAACCATAACAAGGACAATCTGCAACCCCAGAGTCAACCCCCTGAACGCTAGCAAAGCCAGGCCAGAGATTACTATATAATAAGGAAAAATGGATCCACTATGCTAACATCCGATATTTCAGTTCTCAGCCGGCTGCAGGGAAGAAACCCATCTTAAGTCGTTTTCACAGAGTTAAAAAGAACCGGTACTGTATAAAGAAATATGTTCATTGTATAACTATGGCAACTGGCAGCCTGCCACAGGCATTTTTAATGCGATGTTAAACAATATATCCAACAGTGCAATCCTCCACACACACACAAACAATTTCCAGTGCACAATCCTACACGGGTCTCCTGAGAAGGGCAGTCCCACTTATTTCAATGGGACTTATTCCCAATTAGCCGAACAGTATCATTCGATGCATATTTGCTCACAACCTGCTCCCACCAAGTTCAGTAACGCTTGCTCCTCGTTGCAACATCAATACTCCTACTTGAAAGTAAGCCCCATTTAACTGACTGGGACTTACAGTAACTTCTAACTAAATATGTATAGAACTGCCCTACTGAGTTAGCAATGTACTTGAATCTCACTCCATTGCTTCTGTTAAGAATCACACGACAGCTAAAATATGTGTCCCCCGTATTTAGGATCATGTTATTAAAAAGTAGCATAACTGCAGTTACTATTATTTTTGTATATATTAGGTTGTTTTGATATTTAACAGAACCCTTTAAGATGGGACTTATTTTCCATTTATTGATGATATAGAGGAGTGGGCGGAAATAAGTCCTGGAATTGTGTTACCAAAGTCTGTTGCAGAGACAAAATTTGAATGCAGGATTATCATCACATTACACAATTCTTGCCATTTTAATATTCATATTCATTGAAATGTGGTTTGCTGGCTTGTTTCTTTCTTTCAAAATTATAAATATGTTCTCTAAAAACCCAGCAATTTGCTTTCAGATTCCTAGGGAACTTTTTCGAGGGCGTCAAAGCCTGAGCCAAAAATTTAGACTTGATAGTCAAAGTACCGTATAGAGACTTTTGGACTTATATTTTGAGCAACCCAGTATACTTTCCCTCAAAGCACTGCTGAATTATATGGGTCTCCCCACCAATCTTCAAGCATCTTACCACAGACAGACCACATGAACCGGCGAGATCAAAATGCCATGTTTTTAAAACTCAGCAGGTGAGACCGAGCAAGCCCTCCAAAGGCACACGGGTTAAAAGAGGTCCCCATATTTCTCAGGCACCCGGATCAATAACCCGCTCTATAAAGACTGGCTTGGTTTAAGTCCTTTCCCCATACATTGAAATGCAAGAAAAGGCAGGAGGGATCCTGTTACGTGCAATGAGACCTAGGAGGTGTTTGGGGCTTTTGCTTGAATGAACCTCACCTCTTCGCCTCCGACCTATACAGCTCACAGAAAGGCATTCGTCTTCTCGCCCGACCCCTCGTCCCTTCGCAGGAAGACCTGCCAAGTCCCCCCACCCCACCCAGCCTTCTTCCCAGTGCGTTGCAGAGTGCCCATTTCCCTACCTGTGCAGTAGATTACGAGGAGGCAAGCTACGTGCATCAAAACCCGAGCGCTGAGAACTCTGGACAAGCCTTCCCTTTCTCTCTTCATTTTGGGTTTAGTTTTAGATCCTTCTTGCACACAATTAGCATGATTTGTCCACTCCAGGCACGTCCCTTCGTACCGCTTGGAGTTGTTCTGCCACCACTGAACTCTGCCAAGTCCTCTCTCAATAGACAGAGCTCTGTGTGTCGTCGTGCGGCGTTGTTAGGCTTTTTTTCCTCCCTCTTTCTTCTCTTCTGGTCGGACTTGATGTTTTCCGCTTCCATGTTCCCTGCATCCACAGTTTCAACAGATTAGCTAACCATGCTTTAAGAAATAGTAACACACAAACAATATTCCCAAACCATCCAGAGCAATGTGGCAGGGGCAGCGGCCTGGTTTTCCGCTCCTCGAAACCAGGAAAGGTTCAGACTTCAAGAGCCCTGGGCTACAGACTCTCCCACAGTGCCCGGGGAGACTGGCAAATGCCACAGTGGGTGCCCACGACTCTCTGGAGGGAATGCTTTGCCAAGCAAAAGTAGGGAACTGCAGGACTCTTTGCATTTCCTGCCTTGAAATACACTTCTGTGCCTTACAGTTGCTTCCTGGGCTTTTTGCATTGTGGCAAAACCACCCCAGAGGCCAATCCTATCTGCTGAACAGCAACTCCTGTGTTGACCGAGGGTGCTGAAATTTAGTGAGGGCGAAAGAAAATGCTGCTGAGGAGGGCAGGGGTCTTCCCATTGGTGTTTTATATTGGAATGGAGCACCCCGGCAGGATATACTGGTACCAGCAGCTCCTCACTGGGTAGAAGAAAACACAAAACAGGGAGGGTCTGTGCAAAGCCCAATGTGGCCACCTCCTGTGTAGACCTCCATGTTCCTCTCCATTCCTCCATCTTCCTGAGAATGCCAAGGTCACATTAATCAACAAGGCAGAGAAAACACCTGGGTGCCAAGACTACAGTGGTGCCTCGCTTTACAACTGCCCCTTGAGAATGCCAAGGTCACATTAATCAACAGGGCAGAGAAAACACCTGGGTGCCAAGACTTCAGTGGTGCCTCGCTTACGATTGCCCCGCATTACGGCAAAACTGCATTATGACTATCTTTTTGCGATCACTTTGCGAACTGCTTCGGGAACTGATTTTTCGCAAAACGGTGCTTTTAAAACACCTGATCGGTGGTTTCAAAATGGCCACCAGGTAAACAAAATGGCTCCTCGCTGTTTTCTGGGACGGATTCCTCGCAAGACAGGCAGCGAAAACGGCTGCCCTATGTTGGATCTTCGCTGGACAGTGAGTTTTGACCCCATTGGAACGCATTTAAGGGGTTTCAATGCATTTCAATGGGTTTTTGTTTTTTTTTTGCTTTACGATGTTTTCGCTTAACGGCGATTTTCCTGGAACGGATTATTGCCGTTAAGCAAGGCACCACTGTACTAGCTATGGCCCTGCTTGCAGGTAGATCAATTACCTAATAAAGTCATCCCATCCCAACAATAAATGGGTTGAAAATGACCTGTTTTTTTATACCAAGCCTTCTTTAACCTATTTATTGTATTATTAACAATCATCATGTGCGCTCAAGTTGATTCCGGTCTATGGTGATCCTTTCTATAGGTGTTTTTTGCAACCTTGCATGCTCCCTTTAGCTGGGAGGGACATTTCTGGGCAGGGGTGACTCAATTTGTCTAGCACTAATCAATCATCCCTTCCCTGCCTCTGAATTCAGGGAATCCGCCTCTGTGCTCTATGTCTCTCTTGAAGTTTGTTGTTGAAAGCAGTCATGTTTGTCACTTTGCTATTGATCTGTAAGTAAGAAGTCATTTTTATTCTTCTTACAAATGTCTCAGAGTGGGTTATTGAGATTGTGAGTGCCACTTAATGGAAAAGGGGTGGATTACTCCGGGGAACTTGAAGCTATTCTGCTCTGTGAATCCCTGCATTTCTGCTGCACAGCTAAAGGAATCTATTCAAAAATTCAGAACTCTGCAGCAAACACTTTCTCAAGTTCACTAGGTGTAGAATACTTAGAAGTGGTCGGCCACTCCATTCTGCTGGGGTGCCCAGGCTCTTTTAGGAAACACCATGGGGAGTCAGCTTCCAGCCTCTGATCACTGAGCTATTTAGATAGCTGTTTTATATAATAATTCATTTTCTGTAAACCTTTATCATCACTGAGTTCAAGGTAGATTACATGATTGTCTTCTTCTTAACTCCCTTTATTCTTACCATCACCCTGTGAGGGAGGTCAGGATCAAGTCAGTTTCATGGCTCAGAGATGAACAGAACCTGGGTCTCCCAAATTCCAGGCTATGGTAGCCACTATCATATTGCTAAATTGGGAAATGAACTGCGAAAAGAAAGGACAAGTAATATATGTTGAAAAGAGAGAGAGCGTGCACGCACACATACTTGTTTATATGCAAAGGAACAAAATCCCTAGCATTGAAATTGAAACACAATCATCGCAGTAGGAAGGACAAGTTACCAGCTTCTCTACTCACTATGCCTAGGCTAATGCTACCAATTGCTGGACACCTTGAAGCCCCCCTCCACTCCTCCTCTCGAGGGTCTTTATCTTTAAATGGAACTTACATTGGGCCACCCTGCATACAGAAGATAACCTTCAAGGAAAGATCTGTCCTCTAATAGCCTTTCAGATAGAGGACTATTCTACGTCGAGTAGGGTACATGGCCAACATACCCAGGTGTCCCTTTTTAGCACCAACGTATACTTTTTTTAAATTTAGAAGCTGTTTCTGCTGCGTTTTGATAACACAAGGAAAAGTTACTTTTTTGGACTCTTAACTCCTAGGACCCTCTAGTCGGCACAACCAACTGACAGCTAGTAAAGGTAAAGGTAAATGTTCCCCTTGACAATTTTTGTCCAGTCATGTTCGACTCTAGGGGGCCCCCCTCCACTCCTCCTCTCGAGGGTCTTTAT